GTGGGACTACCCCGCGCCCGCCGGCGGGGGGAGGAGGGGGAGGAGGAGGAGGAGGAGGAGGGGGGGAGGAGGAGGAGGAGGATGAGGAAAAGGAGAAGGAAAAGGAGGAGGAGGAGGAGGAGGAGGAGGGGGAGGAGGAGGAGGAGGAAGAGGACGGGGGGAGGAACATTAGGGGAAGGGAAAAACAGGAATGGGACGACGAAGAGGATGGGGGGCATAATTATACGGAGACGGGGAGGAAAAGGAGGGGGAATCAGTGGAAACAAACAGGAGGATACGAGGAGGAGGAGGAGGAGGAGGAGGAGGAGGAGGAGGATGAGGAGGAGGAGGAGGAGGAGGAGGACGAGGAGGAGGAGGAGGAGGAGGTGGAGGAGGAGGAGGAGGAGGTCCGTAGCCATTTTGGCTCAAGACCTATGGTCGCGAGTGGGCAGCCCACACCAGTGAGCATACCTCCGTGCAAGCGGAGGCGGACACCGATCTCCTTTCTCTGCTCGCCCTGCCTCCCCAGCGGGAGCTGCTTTCTCCATACTGTACTCTTCGCCGGTGGGATCTCACGGCGATGGCCAACCATCCAGCGCTCGGCTTCGGCGAGAGGGTTCACGCTCGCCGCTACGGTCGCTATCTATTGCTGATGCTGATGCTCTGCGTAAGCATGTGGACGACACCAATGTCCACATCATGGAGTTTGTGGCCGCAGTGCAGCGCGCCATGTCACAGCTCACCGAGTCCGTCGGCCGCCACTACTCGTCGGTGGACCAGACCATCCAGCAGCGCTTCATGGAGGTTGAGAGGCGCCTGGACAACACTGACCAGACCATCGCCGCGATGCGCGCCGAGCTTGATGCACTCAAGGCAAAAGTCAACATTGTCTCCACCGAATCCCCTGCGGCAGCTGCCGAAGGGATCATCAACAGACCCAACTCGATCATAGCGATACAAGAGACACATGGTAACATACACGGCCTCTCCGATTTCCTCTTCTTCTCGCGGCGCTTCTTCAGTGGGCAGGCCTCCTTTACTGACTCGCGTGGGCGTGGTGGAGTGGCGACAATCTTTCCCGCCCTTACCCCAGAGAATGGGTTCCATGAGCTGGCTCAGTGCGAGTCCGAGATTTTGGTCTCTGGGAGAGTCTTGCACTGCCGATTGGATCTGGGACAGATCTCTACCGCGCCTGATTCCCCCCACTTCTTCATCTCCCACTTCAACATTCATAATCATGATTTAGATAATGCTACGCCTAGGAGAGTTATTGATCGGATCAAACAAGAACTTGCCCTTGCTCGCCGTACCCCAGATCGGTATGTCCTTGTGCTTGCTGGTGATTTTAATCTTTGTGCGGAGCCGCCTCAGCAGAGCACGCCGCCTGCTCATCTCGAGCCCCACGCTGCCCTCCAAGAGTGGCGACGGCAGAGGGCCTCTGCCTGGCAGGAAATATTTTCGGCATTGGTTGAGATAGAATGTTTTGAGCCTACGCACTATAATGGAGTACAACAACATACATCGAATATAGACAGAATATTTACCAGCCTTCCTGGTCATTATCTTACTTGTCTCCAGGTGGACATAAATGTATGCGAATACCCAGAAACACTGGACAAAAAAGGAATATCAGACCATGCCGCCCTTCTCGTTCATCTCCGTCATCGCGAGCCTCCCGATGTGGATGCCCGCCCAATCGACAAGCAGTTTTTTTTCAGCTCCCGCTCTTTAAGCAGTTTGTCCAGCAGACCTGGGAGGAGAGTGACGTGTCGTCTCTCAGCCCGCCCCAGAAGTTGCTTTTCTACAAGGAGGTTTTGAAAGAAGGTGCCCGACAGGCTCGCAGTGCCCTCCTACGAGAAGCCCCTCAGGACCCAGCAGCACAATTACTACTTATGAGATCTATTAGCAGATGTGTTTGGAGAAATGATATGAATCTCGCCCGAAAGCTGATGATGCACACCATGGCCCTAGAGCTCCTCAACGTGGACCCCGTCGCCTCCAGAGTCTCCCTCTTGGATCCTCAGAGGTTCTCTGATATGCTGGGCGCTCTTCAGTTTCAGGACGCCGTCCGCGAGCAGGGCAGGGTCGCGGACCAGCTACCTGCTGCGAAGTCGGGTTCCAAGCGTGCTAAGCTCCGCCAGCGCCTTAGACGTCTGGTCAGGCGCAGCCGGCTGTGGGCCCCTTTTGACAGACGCCTGCAGCTGATTGGGGTTCGCTCAGGCAACCGCATCTTGACTGACCAGCTCGAGATGCAAAACGTGATTGCCATTCATTGGGGGCAAGTATTTCGGAAGAAACCAGTGGACGAAAACGCAGGACAAAGGTATTTGGACCGCTGGTGTACCCAAGTCGATCTTCGTGACCTCCCTCCCCCCGTTATCATGACATGGAAAAATGCATCAGACACCTCGCCGACTCGGCCCCTGGTCCTGATGCCATCTGTTATAGTGCTTACAAGTGCGGCCCATATGCTTGCGACGTGCTCTTCGAGGCCCTCTCCTGGATCCTCAATGGGCAACCCATGTCTAGAGGCTTCAACTCGGTCCTGATGGTATTTATCCCCAAAGGAGAGGAGGAGGACGTCCAGAATCAATGCATTCGCTCCGCGAGTGCTCTCCGACCCCTTGGCATCAAAAACACGGATAACAAGATTATTGTTGGTGTATCCTTTCTTCAGCTAAACAGGATCTTGCCATCGTTCGCCGCCAAAATACAGAGAGGATTCATTCGTTCTAGAAGCTTTGGCAACAACATCGTCGAACTAGACACCATCTCACGCATTCATTCCATGTCGCCCTCGGCTCTGATTGACCTTCCCGCCCTTATCAGTTTTGACTTTGGACAGGCCTTTCCCAGTCTTAGCCACCAATGGCTTCACCGAGTGCTGGGCTCCATGAATGTACCCGACCCTCTGCGTACGCTGGTCTACACTATTTACACGAATGTGATGTGCTATGGGGCGTTTATGACCTCCACCCTCTTCTTGTTCTTTCAGGATTGTGGGATTATCCAAGGATGCCCGGCCTCGGGCACGCTGTTTGCCATTGCCGCGGACTGCTTTTTCATTGATATGGACGCCGCGCTCTCTCGCCACCCCGCTGGCATTGCGCGTGCTTGTGCTGATGACGTGGGTGCATCTATTCGCCGACTGGAAGACGTGCGTCTCTTGCACCGTGCCTTCTCGACAATTGAACGTACTGCGGCGCTGAAGCTGAAGACGATGAAATGCAAGATCGTGCCGCTGGCTGACGCCTACTCGCCGATCCTCGCGCGTAGATATGTGAGATGGCTTGCCAGGAATCTGCCCGTTTGGGCTTGCTTTGAGGTCGCTCCCGCGCTGAAAAACCTCGGCCTCTGGTTAGGCCCTGCCGCGCTACTCCTGGAGAGCTCCCGTCGCCAAATGGCTGGACCGCGGTTCGAGACTGGCCTCCCAGGGTGCGCCGTTCTCGGTCACTGCTCAGAACTACGAAAGCAGAGTGGCCTCAGTGCTCAGCTATGTGTCTCAATGTTTGCCTCTCCCTTCTGAAGTTGCCAGACAAGAGCCAGCAATGTTTGCTCGTCTTTTTCGGACCCCGAATTGTGTGATCCCCCGTGCGGGGTGGTTTGAGCTCGCCCAGTGGGGCGGCCCTCGAGTCTCTAGTATCCAGGCTACTTCTATCGCTGCTCTGTTCAGAGCGAGCCGTCTGCACATTGTTTCCTGGAGAGAGATGCTTCCTGCTCTCTCTGCTGTTGCCGAAGAGCAACTCCCCATCGTCCAGCGTGCCATCCATCACTCGCTCTCGCCTTCTTTGTGGCTTCTCCCCTCGTTCTGCGAGTTCCTTGCTGCTGCTGGCGCTGCCCTCCCTCGCCCCGTCGGCTCCCATCTTGTCGCGTCCAATGCTCGCTCTCAACGGAGTGTCTCACGTGCCGCCAGACTCGCCATCGAATCTCTAGCTGAAGCGATTGCTGAGGCACCCGACCCCAGCAAATTCAAGGTTCAACGCCATTTAAAGATCAAAATTTCTGAGAGCCTCCACCCACCGTGTCTCTCTGAGGTGTTTGTCTCTCGGCTGGCCCAGTGGATGCCCATCTCCCTTCCCGAGGCCCGTGGTCTTCCGTGGGATGCCCTGCGGTCCGAGCTTTCTCGTTCCAGTGTTTCGTTCTCTATGGCCGTTCTTAAGGTGCTGATGGGCGGATGGGCCACCGACAGGAGGTTTCAAGACATTTCGCCATGCATGCTTGGCTGCAGTGGCGGGCTCGATGAGCTCGCGCACTACTGGTGCTGCCCGCACTTCACACGTCATCTAGCCTCTCTGTTGCACCTTGATTTCCAGGCTTTCTCGTCCACCTCTCCTCTTGGTCGTCTTGGCATTGCTCTCCCCTCTCGCTCCTCCCTCGCCGTTCCTGCCGCTGCCACCATCTTGTTCACGCATCTTCATGCCCAGCCCGAGCGCCCGATCTCGGCCGACAAGGTCGGCCTCGTAATTCCCACCGCGAGGTGGGCGCTAGAGCGGCTGTAGACTGACGGACGTGGCGCGCGGCCACGTGCGAGGAGGAGGAGGAGGAGGGGGAGGAGGAGGAGGAGGAGGAGGAGGAGGAGGAGGAGGAGGAGGAGAACAGGCGGTGCAGGATGAGGAGAAGATGGGGATGGAGTGATGGGGGAGGGGCAACAAGGATGCATGATGGGGGCGACGAGAGGGGGGAAGGGCAGGATAAGGGGGAGGCGGGGAGGGGAAACAGGAGGAGAAGGAAGAGAAGGCAAAAGGACGGGGGGAGGGAGAGAGGCTCTGTGAGAGGCCCCACGAGTTTCTCCAGATGCCACAAGACGCTCGTGAGAAGCGCCAAGAGGAGTCCCTGGAGGTCCACAGCTGCTGCGCTGCAGTCGTCTCCTCCCTGCTCCCCCTTCGCAGGTCTTTGCTGGCCTCTGGAGGAGAACGAAACACCAAAGCGTCCAACCGTCTACCTGTACATAGATCCTGTCAGCCCTTCGTCCCCCGATCCTGGATCCCCCCTCGATCCTCGATGCTCCCCCCCTGCTGGAGGCGCAGTGGATGCAGTACGGCGCCGCGTGTTCCATGGTGCCTGTGCCAACCGTCGCCGGGATGCCAGCCGGTGACTATGGGCAGAGCCTCGGGTGTTGCTCGCAGGTCCGCCGTCCGTCGTCGTCGTCGTCGTCGTCGTCGTCGTCGTCGTCGTCGTCGTCGTCGTCGTCGTCGTCGTCGTCGTCGTCGTCGTCGTCGTCTTCGTCTTCGTCGGCGGCGGCGGCGGTGTCCTCGTCCTCGTCGTCGTTCTCGTCCGCGGCATCGTCGTCGTCCTCGTGTGCTCGCAGGCGGCTGGTCGTCATCGTCGTCGTTGTCGTCGTCGTCGTCGTCCTCGTCCTCGTCGTCGTCGTCGTCGCGGTCGTCGTCGTCGCCGCCGCCGCCGCCGTCGCCGTCGGGAATCGAAGGTTGAGCTTTTTGGTCGGTTCTGATTCTCTGGGTGCCTGCGGCAGGTCCTTCCACCATGCCAGCTCAGTACTGGGTCGCCGAGCACCGATGGCCGTCACATCTGACGCCTCTCGTGTCGTGTTCACTCCTTGACAGGGTGAGCTCTCGTGGATCTTCTCTGGGCCGTCTTGGGGCTGCCTTGGGCTCACGTGGGAAAGTCTTCGGGGGTCCCTTGGGGCCATCTTGGGCCATCGTGGCCCGTCTTGGGGCCCTCTTGGGGCCCTCCTGCACCGTCTTGGGCCTCTCTTGGGACTCTCCTGGACCTCCTTGGAGCTCTCCTGGCCGCCTCGGGGCTCTCTCGGCCGTCTGGGGGGTCTCCGTGGGGCCATCGCAGGGCTGCCGCGGGTCCTCTCGGGGCTGCCTTGGGCGGCCTCGGGGCTTCTCCCGAGGCCCTCCTCTGGGGCCGGCGTGGGGCTCTCTCGGGGCTGCCCTGCGCCGTCGAGGAGGCGCTCTCTGGGCTCTCAGTGGGCGCCTCCTCCTCCTCCTCCTCCTCCTCCTCCTCCTCCTCCTCCTCCTCCTCCCGAGGCGCTCTCTGGGCTCTCAGTAATTAGGCGCCGCAAGCGCGCGGATCTTGGGCCGAAAGCCTGCGAATGCTGGAGAAAGGTCGCTGCTTTTCACCACCCACCAAACCACCCCAACCCAACCCGAAGGCTCAGATTTACCATCGATTTCCAGTGGGGGGGGGGTCGGGAAACATCGAAAAAACACATGTGGAGCCCTTACCCCCCCCAACCCGAAATTCGGGTCTTCGGGTTGGGTTGGGGTGGTCTGGTAGGTAGTCAGCTTTTAGCTTCCGGAGGGTGGCTCAGCACGCGAGAGGGAGTTGGTTGCCAGAACCGGGAGAGGATGGTGCAGGCATTCGGCTGATCTCCATGCTTTTCCTCTGCTCACGCACCGTCTGGTGCGAGGCTCTGCCCGGCCTGACCTGAGGGCCTGCCGAAGAGCGTCTTGCCGCTCTCTCGTGGCCTCTTGGAGGCCTCCTGGAGCACGTGGTGCCACTGGTCGTTTCTGAGGGGCTCTTGGGTGCGTTCTGTCCTCGACCTTGGGCAGTCTCGGCAGCTTCGGTGTGGCCTGCCGAGGGCGTCCTGGGAGTCGCCTCGGGTGCCCTGGACGTCCTGGAGAGCGGCGGGGAGGCGTTTGGGCGCCCAGGAGCCCTCGGGAGGGGGGTGGTGGTGCATACAGCAACGTGCGCGAAGCGGGGGGGGGGCTCCTTTCGGAGGTGGATAGACCTCCTACCATGACACGTCGATTAAGGAATTGGCCGTTTTCGGCTCGCGAGAGGGCGTCGCGGCCGTCATTTTGCGGGTCCAGGTCCGTCGGTTTCGGTCCCGGGCCGTTTTCGCGAAGGGGAGGTTTACTAAATGGAGGTTTGTCCACTGCCGATCCTTGGAATACAGTCGAGCATCTGATTAAGACACCTCCTCCCGAAAAACCGGACCAGCGTTTTTCTTGACCAGCCTGCTGGAACGCTGGCCCAGTTTCTCTTGAGCACGTTCGCCGCCTCCAGCGTTGGGAGGGGGCGCTCGGTTCCCCTCTCCGCTCCCTCTCCCTGCTCCTCCTGCATGCGTTGCTTTTTTTTGCAACCAGCGAACTGCTCCCAGTGATTCTCCTGCGCCTAAGTAGGAGACCACATGCGAACCCTACCCCGACCCCCCACGATTTCGTAGGGGGAGGGTGGGGTTCACTTCGCTCGGAAGCTCCCGAACGAAGCGACCCCCCCCCTCAGAAATCGTGGGGGATATGGGGTAGGGTTCGCATGTGGCCCCCATGCTACTGTATGGGTCGCCCCGGGCATGCATGTCAGGCTACGGCCGCCCATGGGGGCGCCCGACCATGCTTGTCGGCCGCTCTGCGTGGCTTCGGCCCCCCGTCTTTCAACCGACAACTGTGTACCTTCCCAACCGCGCCAGCCGACATCTCGTTTTTTTTTGTAAGGTCGGGATTGCGCTGGCCACTGCTGTTCATCTTTGCTTGCTTGGTGCGCAGGCTTCGAGGACTCGGGGAGCCATCCGTCTGTGAACGTGTTTTCGCCCTTCTCTCTACCTCCTCCCTCCTCTCTCCCCTCCCTCCTCTGTGCATCGATTGGTCTCGCGATGGCTTTTTGTGCGGGTGCCGTCCACTGTGGCTGGTCTACGCACGCGCAAGTTTCTTCAGATGTTTTTCTCCGTTTGTTTTCCTCTTTCCTCCCCCTCCTCTTCTCCCTCCTCCGCTGCACCGTTGCAGCACAAGTTTTTGTTAATACCAAGTGTCCGAGTTTAGCCAGCGTTGGCGATGTAGGGTAATCCGCAGCAGCCGCCGCTGTTTCTTTTTGTCCGTCTGCCTCTTTCCCTCTATCTCTCTTTTCCTCCTCCTTCCTCCTCCCTCAGGCCACGCCTCACGCTCTGAGTGATTCTGCAGACTGCTCTCGATGCCTGGGTCAGGGGCTTTCCGCCTGCAGGCCCGTGGATGCTCTAAACGGAGTGATGGGATGGCAAGGCAGTCAGCGTCAGCAGCCAAATGTTGCCCAGGCTTGTTCTGCGAAACTTCTGGGAAGCTGGCCCGGATCTCCGGCACGATGCTTTCTTGGATCACGCTGCCGACGGTCATGCAGAGGTCCCGCCGGACAGTCCTTGACACCATGCCACGCCCCAGCGGCGTGCCAGGGGGGCACGGAGCCTCCGGGGGCCTCTGGGTCGGGGTCGGCTTCCTCGGCGGCGGTGCCGCCGTCGTGGGTGCGAGGGGAGGAGGGCGAGGAGGGATGACGAGGGGGGCATCCTCTCGCGATCGTCTTTTTATTAAGTGTTTTGCTGATCGGCGCGGGCTCTCGCCCAATCCCCCCCCCCCGCATGGAGTAGATCTTGGACGTTTTTGGCGCCCGTTTCGGGCAGGTGGCGTCCCCACCCCAGAGAGGACGCCCTGCTGCAAACGGCCGCATCGAGCAGAGGCTCTGGAGCCAGATCCCCCCCCTCTCCCCCCCCCCCTTCCATGCCGAAATGCCGAGAGGCCGAACAGGAACACGCTCGCCGTCCATCCCCCCGATCGAGGGGGCCGCCCCCAGGCCGCCGGCTGCAGCGGCGGCTTCGCCACGGCGCCCCGACAAGTGAGCGCCAGCAGCGGCTGCGCCCCCGCGGCAAGGCAGTGGGCCGCAGGCGGCCCCGTTGCCCCCCCCCCCCAGGCGGCCGCTCGGCGGCCCTCGGCGGCTCCCGGGAGCCCCGCGCAGGGCGGGCGACGTCTTCGTCGTCGTCGTCGCCGCCGTCGCCGCGGTCGTCGCTGTTGGTGCTGTCGTTGCGCTCGTGGTGGTCGTCGTCGTGGCCGTGGTGGTGGCCGTGGTGGTCATGGTCACTGGCGCCTTCCTTCACCCCTCGTGCTCCGCGTGGCCCTCTTGCTCCTTCTCAGCCCCTCCTCCTCCTCCTCTTCCTCCTCCTCCTCCTCTGCCTGGGCATCCTTTCTTTCCCTTCACGTTCCCGCCCCCGCTTCCGTTCCTTCTCGCCCTGCTGCTCTACACCCTCGTCGCCCTCAACCTTCTCCTTCCCTCCCTACCTGGCTTCCTCTGGCCGCGCGCAGGCAACCAGGTTTTTTTGGCCGCCGCGGTGGCCGCCGCAGATGCCTGCCAGCGGCTGCAGCAGCAGCAGCAGCAGCACGCCAGCCTGGCGCGGGCGATGGCCCAGTCTGTGGACAGCGGGGAGGGGAAAGCTGCATGAGAGGAGGGAGCAGCAAAGAGGAGGAGTGAGCGAAGAGGGAGGGGCTCATACCCCCCAGGCAGGACCAGCCCGCGACCAAAAACCGGTCTCGGGGAATAGGGTCGAAGAGCTCTGGAGACCAGTGCGGTGAGAATATCACGACATTGGATGTCTGGGGACGAGGAGGAGGAGGAGGAGGAGGAGGAGGAGGAGGAGGAGGAGGAGGAGGAGGAGGAGCAGGAGGAGGAGCAGGAGGAGGAGGAGGAGGAGAAGTGGCAAGTCGGATAAGCAGGTAGGTGGAGCAGCAGGATTCGCTTCCCCCCCCTTCCCCACTCCTATGCTTTGTCCCCTCTCCCAGTTCTGTCCCTCTTTCCGCTCTCCCTTCCTGCCCTGCACCCCCCCCTCGATTCCCCCCCCCCCCCCCCCCACCTCCCTCTCTCCCTTCCCTCTCTCTGCCCCTCTTTCCGTTCCCCTCCCCCCCTCCCTCTCCCTCGTCCCCTTCTCTGCCCCTCCCCCCCCTGCCTCACCTCTCCACCTCGACCCCTTCCCTTCTCCCCTCCCTTTCCCTCTCCCCCTCCCCTCTCCGGTCCCCTTCTCCCCTTCCCCCCCCGGCCCTCGCTCCCTTCCCCTTACCTCTCCTCGGCACTCTCCTCTCTGTGCACTCACTCAGTACCCAGTCCCACGCATTTTGCGGACGGGGTCGTCGGCAGCCTTCAAGGCTCTGAAGATGCCCGCCGCAGGCGCCGTCTTCTAAACACACTGCACAACGAGCCCGCCGCAGGCGTCGAATTTTCGTCAAAGCCATGCGGGTGGGTCGCGGGTGGGTCGCAGGTGGGCTGCGGGGTGGGTCGCCGGGTGGGTCGCGGGCGGGTCGCGGGCGAGGACGACGACAACAACAACGCAATACCAACGCAACAACAAGTTTCACCGCGGAACCCATTTCAGCCACGCGCCCAGGAAAATTGAATGACCGTTCGGCCCCCTCACGCTGATGAGTATTACTCTCCCTTCTCCCCTGCGTGTTCCTTTTACACGGGATGCCATTGGTTGGTCTTTCCCATCGTTTGCCCTAATCGGATTGTTTTCGAAGAGTCGAAATGTGTTGCTCCCGCTGCAGCTTGGGCCCCATTCCCCAATCAGTGCTTGCACTGAAGGGGTCCTAGCTGATGTTGAAAAATTTGGCGAAAGTTTCCGGCCGATTTCGGTGGGCGGCCAGGTTCCCAGGTTCGGGGTTCCTGGGTTCCCGGTTGCCAGCTCCGGGCCGATTTCGGTTGGCGGCGGGGTTCCCGGGTTTCCGGGTTCCCGGGTTTTTGGTCGATCTTCTTATCGATCGGTCTCACCATCGATCTCATGACCCACCCACCTCTCTATCGTTCTCACGATCGATTTCACAATCGATCTCATGACCGATCTCACAATTTATCTCAATATAGATCGCACGAGCGATCTCACGATCGATCTCACTATCGGTTTCACTGAATCGACTTCATTATCGGGCTCACGATCGACCTTCCTATTGTCCTCACTATCGATCTCGCTATCGATCCTACACTCGATCTCAATATCCATATCACTAATTTTCAAACCATCCACTGATTGGAGTTTTCTGGTGTAATTCTAGGATCGGCGCTGTGTTCCCGTCGTTCAGGATAGCGCTCTGTTCCCGTCGTTCAAGTTGGTACTCTCGCCCCGGCGCGGGCCACTTTTCTGGATCCTAGTCTTTCCTCATCATTGTTCTCCCTCCTTCTTTCTCCTCCGTCTTCCGTCTTCGCCTGGTCCTCCTGCTCCTTCCGCTCTTCCTTTCCATCTCCTGCTGCTGTCCGTCCTCGTCCCTCTCCTCATCCCTCATCCGCCGCCTTTCTCTCCTGTTCATCCTCCTGCTCATCCGCCACCGCCTCCTCCAATGTTCGCAGCTCTCCATTTCCGATTGCGCTGAACCGTTTTGGAGTTCCAGGTCCGCTATGACACGCGTCGGCGGATAGGGAAACGATCACCGCAATGGGAAAGGATGGGTGGGAGGGGTAGGACGTCAGATATGGCGCGAGCGCACCTAGCTTGCCCCCCACCCCCTCTTTCTCCCCTCCCCTCCCTCCCCCTCCCCTAGCACCCTTACCTCCCTGCCTCTCTCCCGCTCCCCTCTCCCCCCCTCCCTCCCCCTCCCTGCTTCGCCCCCCCGTCGCACCCCTCCCCTGCCCGTCACTCCCCGGGGGACGCCCGGAGGACTGCTCGCCCTCCTCGGGCTGGCCCACGGCGGCCATGCTCGCTGCGGCGCCAGCCGAGGCGACGCGCGCGCGGGGAAGGGAGGGAGGGGTGGGGAAGGGAAGCAACACACGGACCATGGTCAGTGCGTCGCGGGATCTTGTCGACGCCGGTCTTGGCCGTGCTCTACACCGGCCGTCGCCGCTTCGCGAGGAGGATCCACGAATGGACGGCAACCAAGGTGCACGGCCACCAGGATCCACACGGTGGTTCCGCGTTGGGTGGTGGTCGTGGTCCCCGTGTTCTTCCTTTCCGGTAGGTAGGGTGGAGAGGGCATATGCTCGAGATGTCTTGAATTCTGCCTTGCCTCCGGAGACCTCTGGAGAAGGGAGGAGGGAAGGCAGAGAGGGCGACCGGCCTGCAGTGTGCCCCAAGACGCGGTGGCGTTTACGTGCAAATGTGTTCGGGCGAGCACGGAAAGCGCGTCTGTCGATTCAGCTATACTCGTGCCCCATCTTTGGGACATGTTCGAAGTGTGTGCGGTTGCTGTTGTTTGGCCCACTGTAGCCACGGGTAGCCGATGTAGCGGACGCGCACGCCAGGATGATGATGATGATGATGATGATGACGATCGTGATGCTGCTGCTGTTTTTGCTGCTGCTGCTGATGATGATGTTAATGATTATATTGTAGAGATGGTCCTGCTGGTGGTGGTGGTGGTGGTGAGATTGATGATGATGATGATGATGATGATGATCATGATGATGATGATTGTGATGGTGATGGTGATGATGCTGGTGATGATGATGATGATGATGATGATGATGATTATGATGATGATGCCCCCCCCCGCCGCTTCCT